GTCCCGGAATTGGCAAAACTGTTTGCGGAGTTGACCTACTTTATTTGCTTTCAAAACAAAACAAAGCCATTGTGTACCACAAAGCTTGTCAATATCCAATTCTCTTCAACAAGCAACATACCTTCCGTAGTGATAATATCTCTGACTTTAAAGGATACTTAGACAATACAGATGTCTGGTATATTGTAGATGGTCAACCACCACTCCAAGTTCATGCTAAGACAATTCTTTTCTGTTCTCCCCAAAAACAACATTACAAGGAATTTGATAAGATGGTGGGAACAACAATACGATTAATGCCAGTATGGTCATGGAACGAGGTTAACGAATGCAGGATTGGTATGTTCAATCATCTTGAAGACTCACGCTGGGGAGGGATTCCTCGATTCATCCTAGAAAAGGCTCTAGATTCCTCTCAGCAAAATCATCTCGAAGATGCAATTAGCAAGAGTAATGGGAGATTATTTGAATTTGTTGGAGAAATTGACCACGCCGATGATGTCAGTCACAGGATCATTCATATCCACACGAATCTACCTGATGAAGATGGAGGAGAGAACGAAGAGAGTGAAGAGGCTCCCTACATTCAAAAATTCATACGATTTGCATCTGAATGGGTGGCTGAAAAAGTGATGGACAAACTCGAAAGGAATTACAGTCAACAGTTAAGGAATTTTGTGATAGCAAGCTCGTCGGAAAATGAATATAGTACGCTTCGGGGCGTCATATTCGAACAGATTGCACATCGAATTTTACAAAAGGGAGGGACATTTAATATTCGTCCTTTAGAATCCGACATCACAAGTTCTACAATTGAAATTCCAGAACGGATCAAGTTGGTATTTAATGACATTAATAAGATCGAGGAGGGCAAGTACTGTCAACCGATTCAAAAGAATTTTACATCCGTTGATGCAGTTGTTGCACCTGACACACTCTTTCAGATGACCGCGAGCAAAATCCATCCTATTAATATGAATGGCATGAAAAAGCTTGTTGAAAAATTGGGCGGAAAGTCGGGAAGTTAGTGGAGGTAAGTATACGCTTAGATACTT